CCACACCCACACCCACACCCACACCCACACCCACACCCACACCCACACCCACACCCACACCCACACCCACATCCACACCCACCCTTGTGTCTAACGTTATAAAAGAATCACTTTTTTTAAAAACGGCCGGTGGTTGGGCTCAGTCCAACCATGCCGTACCCTGGTTACGCCACTAGTCTGAATATAAACAGAAGATAACAGTACAAAGATAGTGAGTTGATGTGCTGCCGATTGGCACATACACTTTGAGACGGAATTTTCTCATGAGCTTTTTAATTTTTTAAAATTTTGATCACTGTTTTTGTTTCAATCGAAGTAGAGCAAGGTTTTTTTGAAACAATCTTCACCGACAATGTTCACTATAAGTAAGTTTTCAGCATCATTGCTATCATATTACAATCTGTAAAATATAATAGAACTATTTGTCTATGATGAAGAAGTCTCAACTTGTCTATTAAAAATCTCTAACGAATCGAAAAATTTAATATTAGCTTTTTCGATCTTATATTTCACGAAATATTTTTCATACAAGTTTCTAGTGAATTTGTGATGAAATATAAAATTTTAAGAAATCGAACTGAATTCTACAATGTATATTTGGCATTGAGATGTTTCTTAACTTGAATAAATAAGAAAATTTTATGTTGGAGTGGATTTCAGATGGGAAACATTTTCGATGGTTTAATTGAAATTCTTTTCTATTTATTTGTTCTAATATTTAATATATAATCATGCTTCTTGAAAAATGTTTAATATGACACATTTTGTTGAAGACATTACTAGAAAGTGAGAGAGTTTTCATATATTAAAGGGTGTGGGGTGGGTGGGTGTGGGTGTGGGTGTGTTGGTAGGAGGAAGACAAGACCAAAGCTCACAAACCCACACCCACATCCATCCGTAAAATAATCTCCAAAATGAATTTCATCTAAACGATACCCATAAAAATAATAAGCTTGTGAAATAAGTGGTAATAAAAAGTTGGCGTTTTCGGGACAACTATTTAATGTGCGTTCATAATCACCTGATCATTGCGTATTTTTTACTTGTTCATGTGTAGAATTTTCAATTGGTAAGTGATAAGTAATATGGAGAGCGGAAGATTGCAAATAAAATAAACACAATTAACTAATACAAAATGTTACAATAATTATCTTTGGCTTTACTTAAATGAATTAGCCATACCAAAAACAAAGATAGTTTTGTGAATAAAGCGTGTGACGGCGCAGGTAGTTAACTTGTTGCTGAATTAATGCTCTGACTGTATGATTCCCCGTTGCTGGTTAAAAGAATGACATATGTTCTCTATTCAAAATATATCGGATATTACTTCAGATACATCTTTCCTCTTTGAACAGTCTCGTTTTGTTTCGCATGTGCGTTTTATCAAACAATATTTGAAACGAGTGTTGAAGTGTATAATATGCTCAGAAACAACAGTTTCTTTTCTCGTTATTTTCTTTCTCGAAAATATGGCAACTATATAAATAACTATGAAAGTAATTGAAAAACAACATTTAAATGTTTTCTTTATGTCAGGCAAAAAGAAGAGAAAAATCGAGTCATTCAAATCAAAGTGTGATCGAGAATTTTGTTTTTTTCATATTGTTTATTCACAAGAGGTAAGTGACTCTATCGGCATGGGGTTGAATTTTTATTCAAAAGAAGCAGAAAACTATAGTGTAACATGCATTGACAATCGTATGTAAAACATTGTATTTATGACGATCAAAAAGTTCTTTATTTTTGTTCTCACAAATTAGAGATCTTTCGAAATGTGCTCATAATGCTCTAATTCGCTAATCAATGGTATTCACTAGCAAATAAAGTCATCATTTCTAATATTACTTTTTAGGAGCATTTTCAATCACTCAGTTTTAGCAAAATAATGCACAGCAATCACCGTTTTGTATTAGCATCTGATATCGCATTAATGAAAAATGCTTTTATCGTAAATAAAGCGGATGAATTACAAATCATCTGGCTGGATGAAACCATCGATCCAGAAATTGAAATGACTTTAAAAGAATTACATACTCATGCTTGTACTTGCTCGACGATTCAAGAAGTGACTGACTTGATAAATGCACTGAATGATTACAAAATAATACTAATTGTAGCAGGTAGATATTCGCATGAAATACTGTCACAATTTCATGATAACAATAAGATCGATTCTGTATTCATATTTTGTATCGATAAAGAATCGTATGAAAACTTACTGGATGATGAAAAGTATCCAAAATTAAATAGTATTCATACTGAATACAAACTATTATTTAATTCACTTGAAAAACGAATGCGTTTGCTGTTGAAACAACTGTCAATTTTTAAAATATTTGAAGATTCAAATAAATCTATACGTGATCTCGAGAAAGAATCAATACACTATGCATGGTATCAGCTATTACGTGATTCATTATTAATGATAGAACTGGAAACAGCGAAAAAACAACTAGTAGAATATTGTCGTCCGTTTTACGAAAATGATCCAACCACTTTGAAGCAAATTAAGGATTTTGAAGAGACGTTTGTACCCTCGGAAGCTGTCCTTTGGTATACGAATTGCGGTTTTTTGTTTAATTTTATCAATAAAGCCTTACGAACTGAAGATATAGATGCACTGTTTAATTTACGTTATTTTATAATAAGCCTTTCTAAACAATTAAAGCAATTATACGATCAATATTGTGAGGACTATCAGGATGCATTGTATTTAAAAGTATATCGTGGATTTCAGTTACCCGATGAAGATATTCAACGATTAAAAACTTATATCGGTCACTACGTATCGACGAACGGATTTCTTTCCACGAGTCTATCAATAAACGTGGCAGAGATGTTCGCAACAAATGTTTTATTTGAAATTACTGTCGATCCGGCAAGAACGAATAAAAACTTAACATTTGCACACATAGCACAATTCAGTGTCAAAAAGGATGAACAAGAAGTTTTATTCGATTTGGGTGCAACATTTAAAATAACTGATGTTAAACATGAGAACGAAATGTGCATTGTGTCAATGGTAGCTGTCACTGATATTGATTTAATAAACAATGCTTATGTCGATCATGAACGAGAACAATTAGCCCGGTACGATATTGAAATCGACAACAATTTTCGTTGTATTGTGACTTTTGGTATGTATCTCATTCAAATGGGTCAATTCGATAAGAGTATTTCATACTTTCGCAATTTACTTTTTCGTACAAGACTTTATGAATATGAGCGATACTTTGTTCTTAAAGGACTCGCTCGAGCATATATGAAAAATGGAGAACACGATACAGCATTAGAGTATGCATTTATTGCGTACAAAATAAATAAATTAATCGTTCCTGATGATACGAAGGAAATCGAAATAGAATTAGGAAAAATATACAATCATAGAGAAGAATATAACATGGCATTGCAGCATCTTGAAGAGGCATTGAAACAAACCGATCCAAATGACTTTGATACCATATCGGCAATTCATACAAATATGGCACTCGCTCATTTTTCAATCAATAATTTCAGTATTGGATTTGAACTGTGTCAACGAACTCTTCAAATGTTATATGATTCTTCTCAATCCGATCCTACTACGATATCTGATATATATATGATTATGGCCAGAGGTCACTATCTTGGAAATTGTTTAGACGCTGCTATTGAATATTGTCAAACATCATTGTCGATTCGAGCATCGATTTATCCAGATAATAATCCAATTCTAATTAGATCTTATTATGAGCTTGGTTATTACTATGATGATAATGACCAATATGAATTAGCAATAGAATATTTTAGTAAAGCAGTCGAACTTTATCAAAAATATTCGAACGAAAACGATCTTTTGGAAATGAAAGCAATGATTTTTTCAGAAATCGCCCGTTGTTATATTGGTTTAAAACAGTTTCAGTTGTCAGTATTTAACTTTGAGAAAGCTCTTGAAATGCATTCGAGAATCATACCACTGGATGAAAAAGTGCTCGCTGAATTGCATGAAAAAATAGCAGTATGTTATTGGAGTAGGAAAGAATTTAAAGAAACGAGCCAACATTATGAAATAGCATTAGAATTAAAAAAGAAAATTTTATCAAGCAATGATGATATAATTTCACTTTACAGACGTATTGGTATTTGCTATAATGAAATCAAAGAATATGCATTGGGTAGACAATACTATCAAAAAGCATTAAATTTTCAAAAAGAAATCGATACACCTGATGAATCGTTAACTGCTGGTTTATATAATTGTTTCGGATCGAGTTACGAAAGCGAAAAGAACTATGATGCTTCTTTAGAGTATTATCATTTAGAATTAAATATAAGAAAAAAATCGACTAGCGATCTTTCAGAACTAATTCAATCATATAGACAAATTGCTAAAGTATATGCAAGCAAAAAGGATTATGATTTAGCTATAGAAAGTTTAGAACAAGCTCTAAAAATTCAGGACACAATTATTGTTGATGGTGATGCGATATCGACTGATATACATATGAAATTAGCCGTATATTACAAAGAGAAGAAGGAATACATCGTTGCTATAAAACATTATGAGCATACAGTGAATATTTATACGAAACTCGACACCATCAATAACAATATACTACTTAATCTGTATGAAGGCTTAGCTAGATTGTACTATCAACAAGAAGATTATTGTTCAGCCTTGAAGACTAACAAATTAATTGAAGAATTATTTACGAAAATGTCATTCAGTAATCATACTAAAATAGCCGATTTGTATAATAAAATAAGTAAAATATACTGCGAAAGTAATTGTTATGATTGTGCATTGGATTATTCATATAAATCAATGGATATTATCACAGAGTATTGTAATAATGAGTATGTTCTAGCTGCAGAAAATAATGAAATATTAGCAGACATTTATCAACGCCAACAAGCTAATGTATCAGCAAAGATGTATTATGAAAAAGCATTAGAATTATATCGAATCATTGGCCAGGATGACGATGTCAAACGAATTGAAAACATTTTGCAGTCGAACTTAGAGTCGAAAGTCGGGAATTCATGGAACTTATGTTCCTTTTTGTAGATGTTTTTTTTGACTATTGCACATAAAGTATTTTAATTGCGTGTTTAAAAAAACTTCAAATTGAAAAGTTTTAATTTTCATCTTTCTAGAATATTGACTGAGGGTGGGTGTGAGCGTGGAATTAGAGAAGACGTACAATCACACCCACAATCGCATCCACAGCTACAGCCATACCCATACTCTTCATAAATACCCTTGATATATTACTTCTGGCTGTGAAATAAATGCATTATTAACATTCGTAGCGATATATTCTAATAGAAAGAATGTAATGATGCCAGATATAATGATAAAAAGAATTACGAAATCGTTCTGTAACCTCATTTTACTAGATATCAAGATTTTGACTTTTTCACGAGTAAACTACTCTGTAGAAATGTATCAGTTGGACATTCCCACCTAGAGACATCTAATAAAATGGCTCTTAAGAGAGGGTCCGCGAGAGGACCACCCTAGATCGCCGGAGAAAAAAAAATTTTTTACGATTTTATTTTCTTAAATGATAGGCCTAGGTAAACTATAGCTAAATCCAAAATATTAGACCATTTGGTTTTACCTATGAAAAATGCCACGTAAAACAAGTTTAAGGGGGTCAAAATTGACCCTAAAAAGTCGCTAAAATTGGGTGTGGTCAGTATTTCGATATTTTCTCATGAATGGTTTGACCGTTTGAGATCGGGTACGTATCATTAGATAGGAAACAGTAT